CTACCTAAAAAAACAAGCTTTCCTAGTTCAGGTCGGACGACCTGCCGGTCATAAGAAATCTCCCAGTTTTTTTATTCCATGACTAAGTGTTCAAAAGCTTTGTTGTTACGACGACCACTACAAGGACCGTAAACTAGAGACATTGAGAACACATTGGCACAAGTTCTTGTCTGGATGCATTAAACCGATAGTTTATCAACCCAACAGGTACCTTAAATGCTGTTTATTGATGTTCCTTTATGGGCAGTTCTGTAAGTAACGTCTCCATTCTACTATTACAGCAGCCGCTTTATTCAGGACGCTTGTAAGATTAAAAATGTTATGTGCATAGGTTGAGGGAACATACCGAGGCTAAACAGAGGACACTGTTTTTGCCCTTAGCCATGCCACTGCGCTGATAACCGTATACTTCGCCCTAGAGGGAGGTGATAAAAAAGACGATGAAATAAACTGTTGACATGTGGTGAAAGCAAGAAAGATAGTAAGATGCGAAGAGACGCACCCGATTGGTCATGAGGTCGGCTAGCAGCATAACGTGACGAATATTAACTTCCACGCCATGACCTTCCATAACAGCCAGGAGTTCCTCCATCACCACACGACGAGCAGCTTCAACGCCTAGCACCCGTTCAACTTCAAGAATGTTGTTACTCCTCGTCTTCTCTGGAATAACGCCGGGAATAGACATTACCTGGAAGGGAGAAAAATCCACCAATAGGATCAATTTAGGCCGTGTTAGCTGTTTTGAGAACCATCTCGTTGGCCTAAGGGGGGGGGGACGGGTAGAATTTTGAAACTACCAGAGCAATGCTCCCACGAAATATATATGTTGCTGTCAGTCGACAGAATCTACCTCAATGAATCAGCGAATCAGACAGGGTAAGTTAGCTAATAGTAAAACAACAGACGTGCACCATAACTGTAAACTATACAATCGACAGTTCGACAGTCGATTTCGAATATGCTCTCCGTATGCTTTACAACAGGGTAGTGCCGGGACGGTGACTTGCGTGTAAATTAGTTTTAAGCGATAGTGGACTTGCGCAGCATCTACCACACTCTCTTTTC